CCTGCTCCGCCGATTTCGAATCAACAGCTACTTTCGGCTCCGCTGGAAGCGTCGTGCAAGAAGTCCGGCGGCGGCCCGTCCGTTCCCCGCCGGTCGCCCATTAGCCTCTTCCGGGCGGACAGACCGTAGCTCTTTCATGGGGGCGGTGGGCTAGCATGACCCTGCCCCATCCCAGGGGAAGAGGAGGAGCTGCCTTCTCGCCCGGGGTCTCTGGGCAACCGGGGTCTCTGGGCAAGACCAAGTCCGCTCACAAGACTGGCTGCGCCGCTGGGTAACGGAGCGTCGGCCCGGGCCAGAGGCGGACAGCTGGGGTCCTCAGCCTTAAACTTAGGGGGAGGCCAGGAACTGGCATTTGCAGCTGGCGGCAACCCTAAGCGGTAGGAGTGCGTTGGGTTCCCTGCCCTTCGGCCTGCTTCTGCAGGTTCATGGCAGAACAGGCGCAACTGGCCCTGCTCAGCTTAAATCCCCCCAGGAAGGAATTGGTGGTGGGGGCAGCTGCAGAGCCCTTGCAGTTTGGAGGTCCAGCACAACACACCCAGAGGTAGCTGCCCACTTGGGCGATTTTCTACTGGTCTCCATGAGCAGCTGCCCTGTGTCTGCCCACTGAGGGGACCTGTCAGCACCACTTCCTCCTAGCTTGGTGGGGTGGGGTGGGGTGGAGCATAGTGGGGACACTGCTTGCTCTCCAAGCCAGGCTGTGCCTCAGCCCCCCCACCTGCAGCCACTGTTGCGCTGCCCTCCCCAGTCCTCAGCCTTCCCACCCAGGCTTTGGGCAGGTGATCCTTTCTGGCAACTGGGTAAAAAAACTCTCCCCAGGCTGTTTGCCACCCCCCAAACCAAACCAGCAACCCAATTGTTGCTTCTGTGTTGGCCGGAAGAAAACCGTCTGCCAAAAGGCTTGACAGCAGCAGCATGACCTGCTTGCTCCAGAGCGTGAGAAAAGCCGAGCGATTTGTCTCTCAGCCCCCCACATGGTACTCCCAGATCACAATCCTTTGCACGCCCCCAGTATCACCTGAGGTTGTTCTCCCCACAGTGACAGACTGAGGGGCACCGGCAATGCGCCAGCGGGCTCTCAGCTCCAGGCTGTTGTCCACAATTCTCCAGCACATCAAATCTGTGTGAGTGTGGGTGAGCGTGAGAAAGCTTCCTGCACGAGCGCCCAGATAAAAATGCAAAACATTTATTTGAGTGTCGTACAAAAGGTTTCCGGTCAAAAAAATGTATTATTATAAATTGCTGAAAAAGACAGACACTGAGCATGCATATCCATAAGAACCCAAAAATGACACTGAAATGCGACAGTGTAGGCCAGTTTCCTCCCAAAGCCATGCATCGGCTAACGTTAAGTGCCGCACCACTGTTCTCGTCTGAGAAGCAGATCCTTTCACATAAACACAGCTGCTCCCGTTCTTCAGAAACAAAACTTCCAAGTAAAAAATCACACTGCTACAAAAATAGAGTTCTAATAAGGAAATGGGCCTGTATAAAGTCAAAGCTGCTCTCTCTGCCATGGGTGTCAGAAAGGACATTGCTTGCAAAACGTAGTGTAATTCTGCAGGGGTAGCCAAGCGCTATCAATATTCCTTCCAGGGAATATCCCCTGGATTTAGGGCAGCGGGGAAAAGGACCCCACAAAATGCCTGAAACAAACAGTGGAAGAACTGGGTATTTTCTTCTAGAGTCGAGTTCACCAGGAGCAAGCCAGCTAGGGGATATGCTGAGGTGGTTACGGCTATCAATGGAAAGATGAAACTGAGGGCGTCCCAAATGCCCACCCCACAAATATCCAGTGTTCGGTACTCCATTTGACAATTATTCACTAAACTTTAGCATTTCAAAGTGGTGTTAAGATTCATCAATAGTCATGTGTAAACATGGGCTTAAAATATAAAAGAAATCACATTTTGTTTAAAGTACAAAGCAAGGCATATTCCCAGAGCGAAGAAAGCAGTGGGTCTCAAGTGACAACCAAACACTGATCAGGTGCTGAACGGATCTCCCAGCTAACCCTGGTTGCCCTCCATCTACTCTGGGGCACTCTGCAGGAAAGCCTTTCCAGGCCGCAGAGCAAAAGACACACACAGAAAGACTGAGGCAATCCAATAGTGCCCCAAAGGAACTTCACCCTGGGGAAGGGGTGTGCGTGTGCACGGGTGGGGCTGTCTGAAAGATGATGCACTTCCCTTCTTTCTCTCTCCTGCAGACCGTACAGTGAGCGACTAGAGGTTTGAGACCAATAAGGTGGAGGTCAAGTTCCCAGTGAAGGGCCTGGGCAGGCGAAGACGGGAGATCGGGCTGGTGGCTTAAGACTCACAAGAGGAGATACGCTGGAAGGCCGGAGGGGTCGGCAGGGGGTGACACGGCAGCCAAGGCCGTGACGATGGCCGACTAAGGGACCCAGGCTGTGGGGCTTGACACTCTGTGCGCACCTAAGGCATCGGCAATGCTCTGCAGCAGCCTCCTGCCAAAAGCAGCAAGTCAGCCTTAACTCCAGTAGCTAGGAGGGGAAAGGCCCAAGGCCCAGCAGTTCTCTCCCCCCAGCGGGGATTTACACGGCCTCCACTCCTGGCCTGCTCTGTGTTCTGGGATGGCAGAACCCCTTTTCTGCAGGCTCTCCTTAGGAACCTTCTTCTGCAAAGATGCTGTCTGAGGAGGGGGAGGGGGCGGCCACAACCATCGGAAGACGTTGGCGCACGAAGCCTCCAACTTAGACTCAGCACACCTGGAATGACTTTGGACTGGCAAACCTTCCAGCCTCCTCTGCCCCAGGCCTGGGCCAGTGGCCCTTGGCCACCCAAAAAGCAGCCACTCCAGTCTATGAGCCAGACGGTGCTGGAGTGACGTTTCGATGAACAAGGGCACAGGTGAATCACCGCCATCACTGCAGCCCAGAGTGGTGCTGCTAGAATCCAGCACAAAGCCTGGCGGGTGGGACTCCGCAAAGGGCCCCTGGCAGAACCCATTTCAGCTCCGGGATTCCTCTGCTGAGCACCTGCTTAACCCAGCAGCGCCTCCACACACGGCAGGCGCAGGAAAGCTGGCGCCGGCCAGCTCAGAGGGGCAGCCGCTGGCGGAGCCCTGGGGTCAGAGGAGCAGACCACGAGGAGCATGACCTTGGCAAACCACCCCAGACCCTTCCTTCTGAGCAACCCGTTCGGCCTCCCTCCTTCAAGCTGAGTGGGAATATGACCTAAGGGGGGCGGGGGAGGAAGACAACAATTTATTTAAATTTATCCAATATCAAGCTCCCTTTTCAGGGCTTTAACACTAGTGGCTCCATAAAAAGTGGATCAGAGCTTCTAAATCTAAAACACTTTTACATTAATTCACATTGGTCATTAACACACTATGTAGCATTAAAATATCTCTGGAATGTTGGCTCCTTAAACATTATTTTCATATTAAGTTTGATTTCTCATTCTCAATCCTGCTACAGTTAAGCGACTGTCTCAGACAGATACCCAATCTATCCCTTCGTTAAATATTTTCTCTCTGACAGCATGTCTTACTGCTGCCAAAATGTCCACACACCCTTGAGCTAAAGCCCCAGGGATGTCATAGAAGTAGCCAGTGGACTTAGGGTCAGAAGCCCTGTTTACATCCTATGAATTTTGGGATGTTCCCCTTGTGGAGATTCCAAGGCCCTTTCGAGTCCTCTAGGCTTCAGAGCAAGTGAGACACTGGACAGCTGGCTTGCCTGAAGGGTCCCTTTAGGAAGATGCGTGTTTCACAGCTTGATGATCAGAGGCGGCTTTCGCACGCTCAGTCCCGCAAGAGCGAGCGCCCAAGGTGACACCTGGCAGTTCAGACATTTGATGTGGCAGAGTCTCAGGTGATGGACTATCTACCAACTCTTGGGAATGTAGCTCACTGAAATTCTCAAGATTTTTTTCATTAGGATTCCAATTTTTAATGCTCTTATTTAAAAAAAATAAAACACAGAACCAAGGCAGTGAGCTTCAAGGCTAGCATTTGAAGAGGAAGATCAGAGCTAAACACAAATGTAATGTAACTTTTAGGGTTTTGTTTTGGACTATGAGAGCTAATTTAAGTTGGGGCACATTCATTTGAGAGCGAACACTTAGTGGTAAGAATTCCAGCTGAAATGGCTTCTGTAATTCAAAATACTTTAGAATCCCAAAGTACACAACGTTGACAAGATTGGATTTCAAGGGTATTTCTACGATCTTCCAGCAGATAACTGGTTATGGAAGGGTTCTTTTTTTCACAATACTTAAGAAAGATGATACCAAGATACTGATGGCGATGCAGCCGCCGGCAGGTCAGCATTCTTACGCAACACACCCTCCTTAAGCAACGTTATCCTGAGAAGCAGCATGGCAAATGTGTCCCGCCTCCATCGGGGGCTCATGTGGTTTCAAATCCCAACACATTACTTGCTGCCCATCCTGTAGGAGACCTGGAGTAACTCTGGGCTACTTCGCTGCGCACTCACCTTTGCCCCCCGTCCTTCTGCAGTGGCTTCCAAGTGGTCTGGTCACTTGCTAATTCTGGTGGGATCTCTTTGTCAGAGATGTTCAAGCAGAGGCTGGGCACCCATCTCATTAGAGACTAACCGATTTCCTGCAACAGAGGGGACAAATCTAGATAATCCTTGGATGCCATTTCCAATTCTGTGACTTTTTTTAGCCCCAATTCCAGGAAGCCAAGAGAGCAGAAGAGCATGGAAACACCCTCAAGTCCCAAAGCCTCTGATCCGGAGTCCAAACCCTGATTCAAACCCTTGTTCCTTGCCCGTGGCGGGGGATTCCTTGCCCTTGGCTCGTGGCTGAAAAGCAACAGCAGCAGGCAACCAGCGCAGTTCTGGCTGATTCGCTTCTGGCTTTTTAAAAGGGTTTGAAAACTCAATTCCACTCAAAGTAAAAATAAGTCATAGAAGACCTAGAAAAATAGTTTTCCATGAATGCAGGTAAAAGAAAAGAGGGAGGGAGAGAAACATAAAGCCAAGAGGGCTCCTTCCTTTCACATGATGGCGCATCCTCTGGACGTTGTCCTGGGATCCCCCTGGAAGAAGAAGGAAGGGAGCTTGAAGATGAACCTCACCTCGACGTCCCTCCTTCCCTCTGCCCCGCTCTGAGGAACAGCAGCGGGCAAAGGCTCCGCGACACGCAGGGCGCCTGGCCCCGTTAAAGCCAGTCCTCGCAAGGGCAGAGGAGCCTCTCGGGGGCCATCCTGTTGCCAAGGCCCCCTTGGGCTTAAAGGGAAGCCCCACTACAGACAAGAAGGGAGGCCGCAGTGCCACCGCTCTGCGGGCACCATTATGCCCAGGAAGTGGCTCTCAACGTGCCCCTCCTTCTGCCTATCGGCATGAAGAAAAGATGGAGGGAGCCGTGGAGGAGCTTCCTTTCCCCTTCCAGCCGGCTGGGAGTGAGCCGCCCTTCTGAGGCTACCTGCTGGTGGAAGAGATCTTCCTCCCCAAACTCAGCCTCCTCCTCCTCCTCCTCGTTCTCCTGCAGCGCAGCGGACAACTGGGTCAGACTTCTGACAGCAACCTCCTAGGAGGGAGAGCAGAAACACTCCTTGCGTCACTGGAGAAGCCTCTGGATGTTTATTTAGCTATTTACTTGTTATATGGCCACCCACCTACCAGGCTGAGCAGCAATAAAGAAAGAATACAATTAGAGCAAAAAAATCAAAACAAAAAACAACACTGAGGCCCCAATAAAACTCTGTGTCCCGGCTCCATCAGCCTCCTGGTCCCAGTGCTTGAGGGAAAAATCAGGCCTTCGTGGCCTTCCTGAAGGCCAAGAGGGTTGGGATTGCCTGTATATCCAGGGCAGGGCGTCCAGGGAACATCTAGCAAGAAGTGACGTTTTCAGCCGGTCCCTCAAACCACCCTCCACTGAACCAATCAGGCCAATCTCTTCCTGCTGTTGCAAAGGGAGTAAAGGAGTCGGGGGGAACCTTTATACAGAGGGATTTAAGTCTGCAATTTCAAAATAAGGCCAGGTGGATAACCCAAGTGAAATGCCACCTGGGAGAAAAGCAAGAGGCTGTCTTCTGGGGGACAGGCTCGACATTTTCCCTCCTGTTCCCCAAGCTGGTTCCTGCAAAGTTCTGTACACGTCACTTTCTGCTGGCAGTTTTGCTGGTCTTTCAGAAGACCAAACTGTTTCGGAGAGCTTCCCCCTGATATGAATGTTGCCATCTTTGTTTTCATTTATTTTATTTGTAGTTTATGTCGTATGGCTTTTATTTTTATTGCTTTTGTAGTTGTTTTACCCTACTGTGAATGTTTTAACCTGTATCAATATTAAATAAACCATCCAAAATCTCTTTTGATTGTGATGGCACAGAAGTAGCTTTTAATAAATTAAAAAATAGATAATTCTTTAAAAATCTCTTCTTCTGCTTCCCCTCTCCTCAGAGTCCTCTTTCCGACACCCACGCCATGCCCCTCTCCCAACATACCTCTCCATCAGAGTTCACCAGGCACGTGTGGATATGGTCTCCAGTGCCCCAGCTGCCCTGGTTCTTCCAGACTAGGACTGAGGGTGGGCTATGTGCCACCCCAGCCTCAGCAGCCCAGATCTAGGAAGACAGCCAAGGTTGGTACTTGCATAGCTCCCTTGGGCCTGATTCTCCCGTCCTGACCAGCCAGAGCCCAGCCCGCCTCTCGCCCACCCAAAGGCCTGGCACGGGCAGAGGCCAGGCATAATGCACCTCTCAGTCATGGGGGCCGTTCTAGGGTAGGAGCAGAACTGCAATCCCCAAAGAGTTTGAGGGCTGGAAAGGGCCCTGAAGAAAAGAGGGTGATGGTGGTGATTTGACCACTGGGAGATGGACATTCCCAACACTCGGATGCAGGGGAGGGCACTCCAGGACTTACTGTCACCGTCTGCCCGGCCCGGAGGATGTACTTTGGAGTAAACTTGTACACAATCTCCTCTCCCTCTCCAATCTTCCTCTTCAGCCTCCAGTTTCCAAGAGATTGATCCTGTTAAGGGAGCTTGTTTTTTAGCCCCTGCCCAATTAGCAGAACTGCGTGGCACAAAACAGCCCCGTGGGAATCAAACCGAGGGGAGGAACGGTCAACTGAGCTTCTCAGAGTTCAGGTGAGCCTACCTTGTCAGAATGGTTCTTCAACTGAACAAACTTCCCCTCCGGGTCCACCTCCTCAATGCTGATGCTCCCCTTGGCTGAGGCTTGCTGGCTAACCCGGAAGCTGCTGGTGCTGCTCCTGCGTCCAACCCCGCCGGACATGCTACCTGACAGCTCCTCGGCCTCCACCCGCTTCCGCTTCCCCCGCGAACAGCGAGTAGCTGAGGTGCTGGAGGAGGTGGCTCGGGAGACGGTGATGCGGGACGGGGGGCTTGGAGACAGCTTGAGCCTGGCGGGAAACAAGGGGGAGCCTGGGCAACGTCCCTCATGGAGCAGACACCACAGCCTGCCCGCAGGTGTGGCGGGAGGCTCTTCCCGGACTCCATTTGGCCTATGCCCTGCCAAGATTCTTCCCAGATGCCCTTCTGCCAATCGCCTCCTTGGGCATCCCATCATGTCTCTCCCTGCAGGGAGGGGCCGCTGGTCCTCGGGGCTCAGGGAGGGCAGTGTCCAAGGACCTGCTGCCAGCCACGTTCCCTGACCCATCCAGTCAGAATGGGACCTGGGGTGCCTACCTCTCCTCTTCCCCTTCCAAAAGCTTTCGGTAAGCGCTGATTTCCATGTCCAGGGCCAGTTTGACATCCAGGAGCTCCTGGTACTCCATTAGTTGCTGCTGCATCTGGTCCCGCATCTCCGTCATTTCCCGCTCTTTGGCATCCAGCATCTTCCGCAGCTTCTCCTGTTCGCCAGCCATCAGCTCCTCCAAGTCCCGCATCCGCTCTTCCGCAGTGCTCACCTGCAGAGGAGAGGGAGGAGCGCTTAGGGGCACACAGGTTTCCTCTGTTCTCTGAAAAAGTCAAATCTGAACCTTCTTCTCCAGGAAGCCCTGAAGCCGCCTTTTCCAACTCCCTGTGGACGCCTGTTTCTGGAGTAAGCTCCCTTCTCCAACCCCTGGGGCTGCATCTGAACTGTCAGGGGGCCAAGGGTCACCAGAGGCAACTCCATCATCCGTTGGGCCACATCCTGATGGGCAGCCAAGGGCTCCTTGGAGGAGCCACCCAAAAGCATTTCTGTTTAGATTAGAGGGGCTGCAGCAGGCAGGCACATCCCACCCTCAGCAACTTTCCCAGGCAGGACTGAGGTCTGCAAATCTGGAACCGGGGATGTGGGAAGGAAGAGAGCCGGACCCAGTGGGCCTTTCACGCCTCACCTGCTTCTGCAGCCCAGAGAGCTGATAGCTGAGAGCTTCGATCCGGATGCGGGCCTCGTTTAGTTCTTCCCGAGCGGCACTGGCCGCCCGTTCGTTCTGATCCGAGCAGAGCTTGGCGTTCTCCAGCTGAGAAAGAGAATGTATTGCTTGGACCGACCAGAGAATTTTCAGCCCCACCTGCTGCATTTACGGCATGTGCCCTGAGACGGGCGAGAAGGGGACAGCCCAGCGCAGGGCTTTAAGCCGACGGGTCGCAAGACACCCCCACCCCCCGGACTAGGCCAACCCAGCGCCTCCCTCCTCCCACCTGGAGAAGGCTGTGGCTCACCTTGGCCTGATAGGTCTGCTCCAATTCCAGCTTGTAGAGCTGGACCTGGTCGTCATGCTGCCTCCGCAGGTCTTCCAGGGCCTGGGCAATTTTCGACTCATACTCCTTCTGGTGACTGCTGTCCACCTCCACCAAGTGACGCTCGTGCCACTTCTGGGTCTCCCTCACTTCCTGAGAGGGAACCCCGCCAAAGGCTCAGAAGGGACGGCCTTTGCTCCTCCACACGGAGCCAGACCCCCCATTCTCCCTATCAGAGGTCCCGCGGGAAGCAGTGTGCTGTGGAGCACCAGAGCTACAGCCAAAAGCCCCTCCAGCCAAGGGTAGCACCCAGTCCCACCTCTTCAAAAATGCTCTTCCTGAAGTCGAGCTCCTCTTGGAGGCTCTGGCAGCGATTCTCCAGGTCCACCCGCAGGAGGGTCTCCTTCTCCAGCTGCTTCTTGGCTACGGCATGGGCGTCCTCCGACTGGGAAGAGGCCAGAGGAGAGTGCTCAGGGAGCTGCACCAGCAGAAGCAGCAACACTGGCCAGGTCTCTGCAGGGCACTGCCATTGGCCTGGCTGCCTTGCTCCTTCCTCAAGGGCTGAGACGGCAGCCGTCAAGGGCTCTTGTGGGGATCTGCTCCTCCGCAGGCAGGCCAAGCATGGCTGTGAAGGTCTTCCACTTGAGCAGGAGAGAGACACCCTCCTTGCCAGGGAGCATTGCCATCCTGCGTGACGGCCCCTTCCTTAGTTTAAAGGCCTACCTTGGCCCCTCCAAGCATCTCCCCCTGGGGTCGACTTTCTCCATGCCCGGCACCATTTCAGACCCATTGGCCACCTCCCCGAGCAAAGCCCAGAGCTCACCCCACCTCTCTTCCGGTTCCCCGGTGTTCTGCCTAGAGGCAGTCTCTCAGAGGCCGTCAGAAACAGCTGGGAACAGCAGGAAAGAGGCCCGGCCCACGGCTGACGTCCAAGTTAAAACCTGATGCCCGAGTACCCGGCTCTCCCGCTCCTTAGAAATCCCCCTCTTCCTTCTGCTGCTCAGCAGGCCGAGGAGCAGGAGAAAGCACTCTGGCCGAAAGGGAGGATGCCCTACGCAATATGCCACGCATATTACGGACAGTTGCGTTCCAAGCTAGAGGAAACTAGACTGGTCAGCGCATGAGCTGGCGCAGAGCTCCTCCCAAGAAGAAGCAAAGATCCTCCCTTGTGACATTTGAGGGAAAGAGACAGGCTCCCAAACGAGCTCCCTTGCTGCGCTTCCCTGGGAGCTGGGTGCAGCCCCAGGTTTTGCTTTGTAGGTCTCTCCCCAAACAGACCCCACACACTCTGTGCCAGCTCAGCAAACTGGGCGAAAGCAGAAGGCCGCAGGAGACCAACGCTGGCAGGAAGCTCTGGGGCCGAGGCTTTGGGACAGCTCTGGGAAGGATCCGTATGACGTTTCTGGGTCACCGGGGAGAGAAAGCCTGTAAACCCTTTAGAACTCCCCTGTAGCCCTTCAGAGTCCGCACAGCTCCGTCCAATCACAGAACCGGAGCTGGAGATCGTAGAGGTTATCTGGTTCAACCTTCTCTGTGTAGGATCCATTACAGCTAGTGCAGCGGGGCTTGGGGTGGCTGTTGCTGGGTGGAGGGGTGTGCGGTGCAAGTGTGCGGGGGCTTGGAGGGTGTGTGAGTGGCCGGGGAGGCACGGTGCAAACGCAACAAGGCTCAGGGAACGTGTGCAAGGGTGTGTGGGTGGCTGGTGAGGCGGGGTGTGAGCGGAGAGGGGCTGGGGAAGGGTGCATGGGTGGGGGAGACTTACCTGAGCAACTTACGACCTTCCTTGCTGGCTTCCCCTTGACTGTGCTTGTGGGAAGCTGGCGGGGAAGGTCGCAAATTGTGATCATGTGACCGTGGGATGCTGCAACGGTTGTTAAGTATAAGCCTGTTGCCAAGTGCTCGGATTGTGATCACATAACTGCAGGGGTGCTGCGATGGCTGGAACTTCGAGGACTGGTTGTGACCACCGCTTGTTCAGCACTGTTGTAACTTTGAATGGTCACTGAACAAGTGGTTGTCGACTGAGGACTACCTGTAATAATACCTCTTAAACGAAGCTCTGTTCCCATGGTAGTTCTCAGTACTGCAGATAGTTCTAAGGGCTTCACAAACCTCTCTCACCACTGCCTCGACTGCATGCAGCACATGTGGCAGTATCTGCTTTTTGAGCTTACCGAGTGGAAACAAGCAACGTTACAGAGGCCCTTTCAGCTCCTCCCTCGGCCGCCAGACCGCTGCAACTACCAACCCTGGTTCTCTGCCACATTCTCACTTGGCAGCTACCTCTGGCCTCCCACACCTTTACCTTTGCCAGCTGGGCACGTGCATCAGCCACCTCAGCCTCCAGGCTGCGCTTCTCACTCAGAGTGGCAGTGAGTTCTGCTTCGCTTCGATGGAAGAGGACTTCCAACTCCTTGATGCGACCCTGAGATGTGGACCACTCCCCATCCTTCTTTTTATAGCTAAGAAAAAAACAAAACGGCTCAGCTCGGGGACAAGGCAAAAGGGAACACTGACCACCCCCTGGTCAGAGGCCTGTTCCCACAGCTGTTTCCAAGCACCCGAAACAGGGACAGCAACCTGATGCTTCTTGCCCTTCTAATATCAGGCAAATCTGCTTCTACGGGCCGAAGGCAGTGTGTGGGGCAGACCCACGTGAAAGCAGCTTCAGGAGGCAGGCCTTTTTCTACCTAGCCCACAGAAACAGTGCACCCCCAAAGGAGACCTCCCCAATTTGGAAAAGAATAATCAAATCCTAGAATTGTAAGGGGCCACCCAATCTAACTCCTGCTTGGAGCAGGAATCCAAATTAAGACCCCCACCCATGGCTGCCTGGCCCCTGGGAAGAGAGGCGCCCACCCAACACTTGTGGAAGAAAAACTGGGGTGGTACCGATTGCCAACTGGGTATGATTGGTAGGCTCAGGTACAGAAGGAGCTCATGAAAGCTTCTGCCTTTTAAGAAAATTAGCAAGGTGGAAAAGATGCTACCAGACTCCTGGTTTTCCTGCCACCTTACTAACATGGCTCTCCTCTTACAACATCTTTAACTGAATACGAGTCCACCTGCCGTGGCAACGTAAACAAATAGAGCTTTAGGCTGCACCAAGAGAAAGACAATTTGCACACGTGTCCGTGTCTGGTTCTAGGTCCCCTACTTTAGGTACTGTTCAGGCAATCTAGAACAGCAGGTGAAAAGGGTGACCAGGCCAGAAACAGTCCTGTGAAGAAAGGAAGAGAGCTTTGCGAAGGGATGAGGATCAGGGTGTGTCAGACAGCCTGGAAGGGGGACTAGACCCGGTTTCTCTCATTTCAGAGCGTAGGATAGCGAACTGCGGATTTAAGTCACACAAAGGCAGATCCCAACCAAATGTCAGAACACCATTTCTGAGAGTAAGACCAATCTGAGAACGGAACCCATGACTCAGAAAAGAATTGGGTTGCCCTTCACAAGTGAGTTCAAGCAGAGGATAAACAGGCATTTCCCTGGGATGTTTAATTTGGAAACGTCCAAGACCCGCTTTCAAACATGCGTAAAACATTAGATAAACAATTCAATTGGAGAAAGTATTAAGCGAATTTGTGCAGGATTCATTCTCTCTGAGTTGCGAGTTCCAGACAGACCTAGCAAGACGTTATTTTTACCATTATCATTAGAAGCTCTTTGATAAGGCTTGATGATGCAAGAATGCGGAAGGGGTCCGATCAGGTGAACGCCACAGCACATTAAGTCTGGAAGCGCCTTCCAAACTCTCCCCCAAGGGACCCAGATGACACGCGTGGGTGCCTGCACGGACTCGTGCAGCTCGTACTTCTGGCACGCCATGCGTGAAAGGCTCCAGGCTTTCGGCTGTCTGCAGGGGGCAGCACCCTGGCATCCCTGGACTGACCAGGGTTCGGTGGCGCCTCCATTAGCAGGCGGACAGGATCCGGACTCAAAGAACGATGGCAGAGAGCCAGGGTCCGACTCAGCCGTTGCACCTCCTTCTGAGCTTCCGTGGTTCTCCTGTTCCCCGGGCACTGCTCGGTGCGAGCAGCGGGGGGCCCGTGCCCAAACGAGCAGCTCCTGCCAACCGGCTCCTGCAGCTGCTGGCAGCTGGAGGGCTTCCAGGGGCTTTGCCACAGGGCAGAGAGGGAGCGTCCGGAGAACGACCCAGCGCCGCAGGGCGCGCCAGCTGAAGCCCTCGCGTCAGTCGGCACAGGCAGGCCCGCGAGGGCGGCTTCTGAGGCCCCCGGCCTGTACCCCCG